AAAACAAATGACAGTTTTCAGTAGGGCTACCAATTGCTTTTACAAGTAAAGTTTTATCAGAACACAGCCAAATTCAATTATTTAGGCATCACCTGTGAACACTCTTGTCCAACAAGACAGAGCTGAGACCACTTGTGACAGATAAGTTACACTCTATAAGGCCTAAAAAATTTATTCTTGATTATTAGCTAATTAATAATATCTTCAGTGCTGGAAATTGAACTCAGAGCCTGGTATATGCAAAAAAAAAAAGTACTTTATCACTGAGTTAAAGTCCCCTAGAATCTATCGTATCTTTACTTGGATACTAGGAGCTTTCTGATCCTGTCTTAACATGCCAGTAAGATTAATGCATAAAAGAGATTATTACTAAAGTTGGTAAAATTAAGCCAGGCATTTCAATCCAATCCTTTGAAGAGAAATACTAGAAGAGAAATACTAGAGTCATTAATGTAGGCTCTACTTTAGGTGTGGTTGTCCACAAGACCCAAGAAACAACAGAGGCTTAAACCTGTGAATTGCCCCAGGCATTAGGTGTAAAGTGATCTTGAATTTGCTAAGCTGCTTGCTCTAAAAATTGTATCTTGTGTGACTCATGAAGAATGTGGGGTCTGAGGAATTAGGAACATATGGGGTTATTTAGCTTCTTATATTTTAGAGCCTTTCAAGGGTTAAGACATTCCTGGTTTTATATTATGAAGAGAATTTTAGATCCAGAAGAGAAAATATTTCTCCACAAAAATCTCTAAATGCTGTAGTGCTAAACCCATAGCCTGAGCCTAAACAATGGTGGATTAGCACAGGCAAGTGTCCGACTCTATCTTTTGTCTGCTCTTGAATTGGATGTGAGTAATTAAAAAGGAATCTTAATTAGCTTTACATCGCTACAGACATTCTTCTGGGTTCTTTATCAGCACACTTCCATTCTGTAGCATGATGGCCTAGAAAGAAGGGTGTTGCTTTGAACAAAAGAATGAAAAGAGAAAAAACAGTATTGGAGAAACTTCTTCAACAGCCTAGCGATTTAAAAAAAATAAATAAAAAAGAAAACATTCACATTTCTGAATACAGTTAGAAATTGTGTCAGAACAATAGAAATCCTTCAGTTTCCTCAAGGTCTCCTGGCGAAGCACGTTCACATTCAGTGTGAATTCAAGTCAAATAAAACACCAAACTTACAAACAGCAAGGCATTTTTCCCCAATAGAATGTTCACCTTAAAAACTGAATTTCAGAATGATAATTTGTTTTTCTCATGTCTGAGGGTGGCAGTCTGACTTGCCTGATTTTTTGGGAAAAAGAATTTAGCATGTGCTTATATGCAGATTTGGTTTTATTCTTAGCTGCCCTATTGTTAGGAAGCACACTGAAGGAAAGGACAAAGGTAACATTTATGACCTTCCTATACACAAAAGCCCAACTCATAAGAAATCTCCAACCTCTTAGCAACTCAAAATCTTCACAAATTGATACATCTATGTGTCTAGACTTCAAAGTTTACAGATTACTCTATATGAGCATACATAGGCAGCACGGGCCCAATGGCCATATTATCAGGGAGAGACAGTTGCCATTCTAGTACAGAAAACATTATCTTATGGGAGATTAATACATGCATCTTAAGCTGGATGTTGTATTAATTAGAATGAATATGCCTCATTTAACCCAGAAGAAAAAAATTATTTATAAGACAGACTTTGATTCTTAAGTCTATTTTGTCAGCTTAGAATGGCTCATCCATAAAACCTTCTAAAATCACTTGGAAATGTTTCTATCCTGACAGTTATTTTCCTTACAAAGGAGCTACAAGTATCTAAAAGTTAAAGAAAAACACATACACTGTAATTATTCAGATGTGAACCAAATGAGATGGAAAAGAACTGAACTAATACAATTTTGAGTGTGATTTATAAAAACATAATAAACATTTGGAGAAGTAAAAACAGTTCAAAGATCTATCATCCCATGGTACAGACCAGAATTGGCTGGTTCTATGCAAATCTCAAGCAGGTCCAGTTATGTGGAGCCTTCTAATCAGGAGAGGAGAGTCTGTAATGTGTTTATCTATAGGCAACAATCAGACTAAGGGTCTTACCAATTTGACTCTTCCTTAGATCCACAAATTAAAGGAAGAGGCGTAAAAAACACAGGGAACCTGTTTTAACAGGGATGGCTGTAGTAACACTACCTTAGCTTTTGTTTCCCTGTGTCTGATTTTTATGAGTCTTTATATTCGAGATGATGAATGTCAAAATATGTCTTTGGAATATGATTAAAAATAATCGTAACATTAAATGTATAAATAGCATGAAATCTTGTCTTAAGAGACACCCTCTTACTTGCAATTACAAACTAGCTCTTTGGGAAAACAAACCCACCTCCAGGCCTCCACTGTAAAGACACTTGTCAGCTGTGGTTTCCCAGGAGCAGTGAAGTAAGTCTCTGTATACTCATGAGCTCACCAAGGAAAGCGGTGTATGTACTGGAAGCTCAGGTAAGCCACGACACCCTCAGCAATGTGTGTGTGGCAAAGCACATTTGAGGTGTTGGAACTCTCAATTTCAGATGTCTTTATCCTGTGATTCATTTCTCTGTTTTGACCTAACAGTTTAGATGAAATCCTAGGCTATATATGGATGGATGTTTTAATGTAAAGAAAGGAACCCTTCCTCATAGGGAAAGAGATGACCTATCAGTTTGTGTCCTAAAAGGGAGTTGTTGAAGCCTTGTGTTCAGGTGTTAAAGTAGCATATAAAACCATGCCATGTGTCTGGAGGGAGACTGTCTCCTGAGGTGTCTACTCAACTGTGCACTTTTAGGAGACAGAGTGATGGTATCAGGCAGGGAATATTAATGTATGTGTCCCCTCCCCAACGAAGATGCCATTTGGATAGAGTTTGCTGCTGTGTAAATGTTTGCAAATGACTCAGAAAATATGAGTGGATAATACTTAGCCAATCAGGTCATCTGATTGCCTAATCACCCTTTGGTGAATTGAAAAACAAATTACAATATTGATGAAATCTGGCTGATGGGAGAAAATGGCCCAAATCACCATCTAATTCAATCTATTGTGAAAACAGCGAACTTGTCAGGTTTCCATATTTACTAGGATGTGGTTTATATAATTGTTTAAGGGCGTAAATGAACAGGGTGACAGAAATTTCAATGCGTTCACATGAGATGTGGTGGTGACTCAGTTCTGATAAGGAGAAGGTCAGGTGATTACATTCTTTGAGTATCAAACATCAGACCTCTGCTGGAAGCCAGCAGTGGCAGGGGAAGAGGTTCTAGGTCAGTTGACCTCCAGGCCCGCACACATTCTTCACCTTAAATATGAGAGAAGCAGTTTTCCCTGTCTCTTGCTTGAGACAATGGTAATGAAATGGATGAAGGGCCACATTCAAAGGACTTGTGAAATGTGAGGCATGATGATAAACATAAGGCATTATAGAGTCACACCTGCAACTGGATTTACTTTTTCAGACCACAAGGCTAAGTGGAATGCCATAGTGTAGTTCTCCAGAGGACTCCTCTTGAGCAGGTGCTGTGTGTCTGAGAGTATGGTGAGTGTTTAGTTCAAGAGCTTTGTAATGCTGTAATATTATTAGCTGATACTATTGTGATATGATATTAATAATTGTTATTTGGTAGCATATGGCAGTTGTCAGAATATACTGATAGCCATCACTTCATTTACTACTAATCTACTATAAATAGTGTCATTTAATCAGTAAAGATGTTATAAAAAATATAGTCTCTAAAACATTCTGTTAATCAGATTCATGGGAGTAGAAACGACAAGTTCCTAGGGACAAGTAAATACCAAGGGGGTGAGCATTTCACCTAAAGCTTGTCATGTAACATGCAGCCAGGAAGCATTTGCAATTCTGGATTGAAAAGGCCACGGGTGTTCATGAAATAAGAATGCATGAGAAGTTGGAAGATACTCAGGAGCATCCCAGAATATTGGAACTGTCTTCCAGAGTTTCGACAGCATCAGTACCAAGGTACTTTTAGCCAAAGAACTTCTCCTCTGAGACCTGATTAAATTACAAGTCACAGACCTCATGGCAAATTCTTCCCTTCAGATCTTCTGAAATCATCAAAACCTCTTTATCACCCTCCTGGTCACTCTGATGGTCTGAAAGAGTGTGTTTAGTGACAAGTGTTAGTGTATAAGGCTTCACCTGAGTATAGCATTTATGCCTCCGAGTGCTTTCCCAGACACTCCTGTGTTTGATGGCAGAAACAGGAGGCTGATGAGCCACCTTACACAAGTTCCAGGACACACATGACTGTGCCTTCTTCAGAAAGCTCGGTATGAGGAGTGTGTGGTGCTGAGTCACCCTAGTCACTATCACTGCTCATACTTGAACCAGGCCAGGAAACATAAGACTCTCTGTAACATCCCTGAGCTCCTGGGTTCATCAGTGAAAACAGCCCAGGCTTAACAACGCCATTATAACTAGATCAGTAAAAAGCAGCTGTCAGGCAAGGAGCGGTGGCCTGTACCTGTAGCCCCAGCTACTTGGGAAGGTCTCTTGAGCTTAGCTGTTTGGATCTAGCCTGAGCATCATGGTGATGCTTCATCTCAAAAAATGGGGGTGGGGAGAAGGGTGATATTTCACTCCTTTATATATGAAGATTCACTGCGTATAGATTTGCCAGTCATATGCAAATGTTAAAAAATGTATACTGACATCACAGAATACTAATATTCTTAAAATAGCTTTTATAGAGATAGTCATTGAAAACTGCTTGGGCTATAGCAGTGTGACTTCTTATTTTATGAGGTATCTACATAAAGTAGCATCAACTATCATAAGACCCTAACGCCTACATAAATGCATGCATGTGCACACTTGATATATATATATCCATAATCTTATTTCAGTGAAGTTCTTAATATATTTTCAGATGTTTTAAAACACAGTATAAAATCAACCTCAGGGAACACACACACACAAATAGGTAGGCTATCCCAATGCTTCAACCTACCTTTCGTGGCCACTCGGACACAGTCAATTTTGGTTTCCTGTATCAAATGAAGGAGGAGAAATTATTATCCAGATTGCATTTAAATCAAGGAAAATGTCGTTCTGATCTATTAAGTCTAACAAGAAAGGAGATCAATGCTTTAAGTATGGCTTTTTCTCAGTGAGGCATGCTCAGATCTGCTTTCTGATACCGGGAGTGGGGTATCAGACATTTCTGGGCCATGAAGAGGGAAGTGATACTTTCAACCTCTCTATCTGGTGGGCCTTGACTCCTTCTCTAACCCTGTCCCTGTTTCCTGTGTGACCACCACTGGAGAAGAATTCTGCACCCCACACTTCACTGCCTCACATTGGCAAAGATCAGGTGGATGTGACCCCTGGACCTGAGCCATGAAGCAGAGAGCAGGGGAGGACCTAGCAAGCACTTCCTGTCATGTCGGGTTTGCAGTCTTCTTGGAGTCCTAGGTTGGTCTGAACAGGAAAACAGGCAATTTCAGGATTGACTCAACAACATCTTTTTTTTTCTTTGCTTCCTCTTCATCTTTCTAAAGCCTCTTTCTCTTAGGGAAAAACAAGACACCTAATTTAGTCAGCTACAGGATGCATGAAGTCTTGGAGCTGAGGCAATCGGACAGAATTATGCTTCAAAGACAGATGTTGTGGATCTCACAAAATTTTAAATGAGCTGAATGTATGCGTTGTAGCTAAACTATTTTCATTCAAAACAGTCGGCTAAGCAGAACGACTAGCCAACTTTCAGTAATAAGAAAACTGGAAAATAATAACTATCACATTGACAATATGTTTTCCTAAAGCACAAATACAACCCACATATATTCATTTCTTTCCATAGATTTCTTCTAATAAAATGATCCTTAAAAAAATATATATATATATAAATTATTTTACTTGGAAGACACAGACAACTGGCTGGAGTTTGTTTTGAATGTTGTCTCCTTTAACCGTGTTTCCCATGAATAATACCAAGAACCTAATATACAGCCAGCTTCCACACTTACCCCATTGGCTCTACTGGCAGCTTGGTAATAAATTCTGTAGCTTTTATGGGGGAGAAGGGGTGTGTTCCAGTAGCCATTGTATGTCCTATTGTCACCAATGGTAAATGGCTGTGCAGCTTGGAGGCTGTCTGCAGGAAACTCTGCAGCAAAGTAGTACTGTGAGTTCAGGATGGAAGCATTCTGGAAGTGAATTGGCACTGGGTAACACTTCAAGATCTCCGTTGTCTTCTTAGTTCTCCGAGGACGTTCTTCCTCAACAACAATTTGATAGACACTAGAAAAAGCAAAGAGAAACATTCATAATATTTCATGGTCACTGAATGGGTCCACTCTGCCTTCAATTGCTAGGAATTTGAACACATCAGGGACAAAGAACATAGTGGACCTAGTGCCTGGACACAGTGACCCCTGCTCAATGCTCTTCCTCAGCCATTTTCTATGGGAAATAACACAATGAATGAATTGATATGTGCAGGTATGTGTACATGTGTGGGCACCTGTGCACGTGTGTGTATATGCTTTTGGAGGGCAGATATCAACCTTGGCTGTCACTCATGAGTTTGCCTGAAATTAATTCAGCTTAACCAATAAATGAAATTACATTAACTGTAGTGTTGTAAAGAAAGAAGTAATGTATTATTCCCTTGAAGTATAGCTGTATAAAATGCATGGGAAGTTTTAACAAGTTACAAAAGATAACGTACAGTGATCAGTATTGGAAAAGATATTTCTTCATATCTGTTCCTATGTCCTCTGCCCCTGACTAACAGTAGAAAGAGATGTCTTAAGAAAAGGAAGAGAAGGGATTGGAATATCCAAAGCTAGGGTTATGGAGTTACAGAGGTTCCCAAGAGAAATCACAAGCAATGCCATCTGAATCTCACATAAAGAGCAGATGGAAACGAAAGTCTCTGATCCCTTATGGCTCCCCTTGAAAAGCTTCCAAATACTGAAGCAACTTTAGGAGAATGAGAAGACTTGAAATGATGGATTTTTGAAAAATTAATGTTTTAATATTCCCTACAATGATGAACATAAGCAGCAGTTTTATAGGAATAAAAATGTAGAATATCTCTTAAAAAATTAGAGAGAGAGAGAGAGAGAGAGAGAGAGAGAGAGAGAGAGAGAACTCAAAGAGAAACAGAAAGATAGAGAGAGAGACAGAGAAGGAGACAGACAGACAGACAGACAGAAGTTTTCACAAACCAGAGTAAGATTAGACTAAAAAACCTTTCAGGCAAAGAGATGCATCTTCTCTTTTACTATTAGAAAGGCATGGTGAATCTTTAGGGTAATGAGGTAATCCAGGGAGTTCTCAGAACAGCAGATAGTGAAGTTCATTTTCCTAGAGACAGCCTCTGCTGGTCTCACCTGCAAGGGCCTCTGCATCTGTAGAAAACCAATCTGTCTACCTCTTGGAACACAACCACTTAACAGAGTCTGTTACAGTCATAACATACATGCTGCCATCAGCCCAACTAATCTGTCTAACTAAAAGTCAATTCTTTTAGAGCATCAGAGTGGCTTCTGTGGCCACTGGTAGTCCAGCAGCTTTATAGATGATGACGTAGATTGTTATACCAGTGACGTAAGACAGATAAAATAGGAAGGGGATGGAGTCGACTCTTCCTCACATAAAAGACATCCAATTGGGTCTTATCAGGTATAAGGCACTACCAAATCTGGTTGATTGCCTGAATGATAGAAACAATATTTTCAAGAAGTGTGTACGAGTGCATGTGAGTGTTTGTGTGTATGTGTGTGTTTGTTTTAGGGGGTCTAAGAACAATTTTGTGGAGCTTATTCTTTGCTTCGTCCTTCCTATGGATTTGAGGCATCTAATACAGGTTTCCGGGATTGCATGGTAAGCACCTTCACCCATTGAGCCATCTCAGAGGTCTCCTCTGGATTCTGAAAAGCCTACTTGTGAAAAGCAAGCAGGATGCTTCTGACTTTGCATGCCTCTAAACTCTCATTCCGAATTCTCCTGATATAATCTGTCTATCTCTGTCCCTTCCTTAGTCTGGGTTGGGTCTGGCACTTGGATCCTGTTCTATCTAACATAAAGGCCTCTTGGAAGTGATTTTCATAAAGCAGGGCCTCCATCACCTCTTCCTGATACTTATGACCAATCTGTTGCTTTCACTGGCTCTGATCCAGCTCCAGACTCACAAATGTGTTTCAGTGAAGAGTGGCAGTCATGGGTACCCCTGGATCGTTGTCTTCAAACCTTGTGAGATCCTGGGTATAGATGGCTGCTACTTAGTCATATTTTGGTCTTAGAAGTGCATAGTTTTGAAGGCATAGTATAATCTAGAAATGATTCCTAGGTTACACATTATGTGTGATTGATAGTTGGGTCACTGAGCTTTGATGTCATGTTCTGCTTTACTAATCTTTGCTACTAATCCCATTTTTTATTTATCCCTTGCTAAAATAATAAGATATTACCAAGAAAAAAAGATGTAGAGTGCTCAGATGGGGCTGGCTAAATGCTAGGCTTTCTTGGACAACCCGTAATTGACAAGTCCAAGGGACTCAAAGCCAGGATCTGTCTCCTGTGCAATCTGTTACTCCTCTTTCCTTCCACCTGTACCATCACCTACCACATCAGTGCCTGGGCCCTGTGGGTGTCACCATTCCTTCATGAATCCAACAGGTACTGTTTGAGGGCTTCCTATGTGCTGGGCCTGCCCTACTTTAACTCAAACAATCCAATTTATTGTTTTCTAATGAAGCATTCTCTAATGACACTAATTTGTGTGTGTGTGTGTGTGTGTGTGTGTGTGTGTGTGTGTGTGAACACCTACATGAACATAAATGGGAAATAATTTTTTTCAGTTAACAATTTAATGGAGGCTAGATGAACATTTGACAATTAGACAGCCATTTAATGGGCCTCCCTTTTAGCCAGCTGGCTAACTTACATCAAACGCTCTACTCCGGATACATCATACGTTAAATGGCTACTATCTACTCATCTCTAAAAATATTAAAGAAAGAATTAAGTTGACTGGAGCAATTTCAAACCCCAGATGCCTTTTCATCCTTGGTCCACGAGACGCATTAGATTTTTAAGCAGCCAGCCCTCAAATCTATTTGCTGCTTAATAATTTAAGCACTCATAGGTCAAACAGCTCTTTTCTATTCCCCTTTATCAAAGTCCGTGTGCTAATGAAAAACAGCTAAATCCTCACTGCTGCCAAGCTGCTGCATACTGCTGTCCCCCTGATGGAAATTAAGATATCATTAGTCCCCAGGTCAATGGTACCTTGACCATGCTGGTATATTTTTTATTTGTACAAATAACATTGAGTTACTTATGATTTTCTTAAACTCTTTCCATCCATAATCAGAATCTTGAATCTAGCTTTTGAGACTCTCACAGTTCAAATGGTTTTTCTCAAAAAGATTAAAGACAGCAAATTCTCAAGGCTGGCAAGCCGATCAGAAGTTTCTGGGCTCAGTGAGCTGAATTAAAATTCTATTATCCTTTTAATGTATTACTCAGTTCCCTTTTGTTTATTAAAGTCATACCATTCCTAGCCCCCTGCCACCACTGTTGTGGGATTCAAAGGAACAAAAAAATCCTCCAACAGTATTTGCAATATTAAAGTGTAACCCACAGTGATGACAAATCTGCCAAAGATGTGACATCATTGCATCAGAACTTATCAACAGAGTTAGACTTAGTGTAAAATTTAATCTATGCCAGACATTTCTATAACAAAACTCTGAAGCCTTTAGAAGGAGAAGAAATCTGAACTCATATAGAATATCACATGAAAAATAACACAGAAAAGAACATCTGAACATCTTTCATGTGCTTCCTCAAGCTGGAGAGTTCAAATGCTGTGCGATGTTCTCAGCTGGCCCCTAACTCTGAGGTCTTCCACAGGAAGCTTCCTCTAGACTTGAATTTGATGGCACAATTTTGCCCCAATTCATTCCAAGATTAAACACTTGGCTGTGAAGTCTATCTTTTCTTATTCATTTATTTGATTTCTCATCATCATGAAATATTGGGAGGTGACCTGACTGGTCAATAGAAGGAGGGGAGCAGAAGATGGGTCAGAGAAATGTCATGAGCCTTTCACTGTGGCCTTGGCTAATGCCTTAAAAATGACACTTATGATTATTTCAAAGCCTCACAGATGTCACCCTTGGTCAGTCTAATAGTGATTTTTGCCTTCATTTGCATTTTGGGCCACAAATCACATAATTCTATATTTATACAGAGGGAGAGAGGGACTGGAGAGAGGGCACAGTGGGCAAAAAACCTTGGTATTCTGCAGAGGACCCATTCAGTTCTCAGTACCCAAAAAGGCTGGATTATAAGGCTTACAACTGTCTCTAATTCCAGTGTTAGAATTCCTAACACCCCTTTCTGACTTCTGTGGGTACACACAAATACACACAAATACACACACACACACACACACACACACACACACACACACAAAATAAAACGTTTTAAATGGACAGGTTGTTATTATCTTTTTGAAGTCAAATTTTTCATTATCTACAAAAAAAGCACATCATGTTTAACAAATGACTACACGTATAATCCAGGTCAATTGGTTTTCAACTTCAAAAAAAACCCACATTCATCCAGTTCTTTGTTTAGATATTACTTCCTCCTAAATTTATCAACGAATGAAAAGATGTGGCACACCTCCACCTCACAGCTCCACCTGCCTCCTGAGAGATCTATTCCAACTTGGGACACCCAGGCCAGCCAACACTAGAGACAAACAGATGGTGAATGTCAAGTGCTAGAACATAATCAACAGAAATCAGTGCAATGTGGTACCATCAGAACCCAGTTCTCCTACCAGAGCAAGCCCTGGATATCCTAAAACATCCAAAGAGTAAGACAGTGACCTTAAATTTCATCTCATGAAGATGATAGAGGCCTTTAAAGAGAATATAAATGATTTCCTTAAAGAAATATAGTAAAAAAAAACAACAGTCTAACAGGTAGAAGTCCTTAAACAGGAAAGAAAAAATCTCTTAAAGAAACACAGGAAAATACAATCAAACGCGTGAAGGAAATAAATAAAATTGTTCAAGAGCTGAAAATAGAAATAGAAGCAACGAAGAAAACATGAATGGAGGCAATCCTGGAGTTAGAAAATCTAGGAAAGAGAACATGAACCACTAATGCAAGCATCATCAACAAAATACAAGAGATGGAAAAGAGAATATCAGGCATAGAAGATACCATACTATAAATTGATAAATCAGTCAAAGGAAGTACCAAATGTAAAAAGT